CGAATGACGTACATAGTCCAGCGCGAAGTAACCCGCGATCCCCTAGGTCGAGGTAAACTCACTCATTAGCGGGGATTTATTTTTCGCACACTTCTTCGAACAACAGCGTCTCTACTTGGAAAAAAAAAAAATTTCCTCAATTTCCCGACTGTCCGGAACATTTTGTGTTCGAGAAAAACGTGTTAAGTAAAATAGTTAAATTAAAATTAAAAAATAAATAAAAAAAGCAAATAAAACAACTCGAATATATTTTCTTATTGAAATAATTAAAAGACAAATGAATGTCGCGTGTGTTGACTGTTTCAACGAGTGATTTGATTGACTTCTCAACAACCGTCGAATTGTTGTTAAATTTTTGTTTCGGTCGCTAATTTATGCGGAAACTTGTAAATGAACTTGTCCAACCGGAATGATGGAGAGGACGTTAATCCTCAGTGCTTCACGGAAGTGATTTACGCGCGCGTTGCCTGTAACTGGATATTTACAGTGGCTATTTTATCGGTTTCTCGTCTAATGCTCGCATGACGGCTCGCGAGTGAGTCGCGAGTTATTTTGCTAATTGCGGACCGGACTGCAGCAATCAGCCGCGGCACCAACAAGTTAATTCACTTTTTTTTTTTTTTCGTCCGTCGTTCATTGCACATCGCGCCGTAAAATTGTTTACGGCGTGCGTGAAACACGCGACACGTTAACAAGTCGGTCTTGCAATTTATTTTTAATTACGGACGCGCGCGGTGAACTTGAAGAAAAGCGAAGATGGGGTATTAATTAATACTCCCTTCTCCTTCTCCCTTTTGAAGCAGTCAGAGATATATAGAGATGCGTGTGTGCGCGCTAATTATCTCTCTCTGATAACTTCCATAAATAATTCGATCGCGCAAAATCGTGCAAATTTCGACGATCGCGCGGTTTTTCTTTCACCGTATTCTTTGTTACGTCTCGAATTGAGATCTTTCGAAATGTAGCTGAAGCTACTCTCTTTCGCGCGCACGCGCTTTGTGTGTGAAGCTACGAAAATAATCGGCCACTCTAAATAGCGATTGCGGCTTACGTCGGTTTCGAACTATTTCGCCGACTTAGCGAAGCGAGTCGGCGATATCCGGAACCGTGTGTGTGTGTGTGTGTGTGTGTGTGTGTCGGCCAGAAATCGGTCAGAAATCATCGTCGGAAGCTCTTTGCGCGGGAACGGTATCGGTCTCGTCTTCCGAGAACTCGTGCGCGAGGAGGAAGGGGTTACCGACCACATTTGATGCTACATCAAAGCCGTCAGGATAGAGTATCGGGGCATGTATATACCCACTCTCCGGGATAATTTCGACATCGGTGCGCCTTGTGCGATGATAATCCCTATCAGCCGCGGGCTGTGCGGGTTCGAATCACCGATGGTAAAATATCGAGGAACGCACGTGCCGGTATTATCTGAGTGCGGACGAGAAAGAGAGAGAAAAAAGAAAGAGCAAGAGAGAGAGAGAACGTGAATTTATCTCGCCTTTAATGATTTGTCTCGAGTGCGCGAATAATTCGATAAATTATGAGTACGGAAAAACCATATTGTAAAAAATCTTTGTATCAATTATATAAAATATATTCTGAAAGAAAAAAAACTAATGCTACAAGACGTGCAAATTTACGCGGCATTGTCTTGTCAGAGAGAGAGAGAGAGAAAGAAAGAAGAAAGCGTGGAAGCAAAGAAAAAAATGCAGAAGTGTATGAATAAACAAATATAAGAAACAGAGAGAGAAAGAAGGAGACAGACAAGCGCTCGTTAGAGGCGCGCGAGGGGTGCCATATGGGTTAGTAAATTTAACTCCGTTCGCGAGAAATCGACGAAGAGCGAGAAAGACGAAAGAGATGAGAAGAGAAAGAGAGAGAGAGTTATACACGTGGGAAGTGTGTGGAGAGGCGCAAAAGGCCCCGGCCATCTGCTGCCGGAGGCGGCAGCCTCGCAGAGCACAGCGGCAATCTCATAGAGAACTATAGTCAGAAATGCGCTCGAGCACCACATCATGAGAGGATTGACGCGCGCCCAAAGATGCCTGGCCATATTGGCGTGTTATTACTTAGCTTCGGCACAATGGCCCGGCTTCTCATTACACAGCCGCGAACCGAAGCCAATTTTTCTTTCTTTGCTTGACACACTTGTTTCCCAACACATTTAGCGGCTCTTTAGAATCTCTGTATTTCTGTTGCACGACACACACGCACACACACAAACAGAAGTATAGAAAGAAGTGATCTAAATTACTTAACGACTTATTCAACCAATTATTTACTTATCAATTTACTTATCATTGCAGGTAGGTTTATTTAAAAAAAATCTGTTTTAATAATATTAGAAAAAAACTTTTCAATTCTTTATTAACAAACTGTTTTGATAAAAGTTATGCGGTAATTATTTATCTCTTTTTTCTTATCACGTTTCCACTTAGTCCTTGTATTATTTTTTCTACATATGTTATATTTACACTTGGTTTATATATTCATTTAAATATTTATATATGTTCATTTAAATACTTAACGAATCATTTAAATCACGTCACAACCTTGAAAACATTTATATAACATATACATATATCTTGCGTACGTGTACTTCGATCTTGAAGATATCGAGATAATGATTTCTCCTTCTCGTTCAAATCTCTTGCATCGATCGGTGCATTAAATTACAATACCACCGTAATTGTGGATTTCGGCGCCAATGGGAACCGAATCATTACTAGCAAGCAGCATCAACAACAGCAGGAGGGAAAGACACAAGTGCTTTACTCTCTCTTACTGCTCTCTTTCCCTTTTTTTTCTCTGTTTCTCCGAGGCATCTGCCATCCGACTCTCTCTTTCTCTCTCGCTCTTTCGTTCTTTCTCTTTCGACGGCTGCAATGCACACGCACGCATGCACGCACGCACGCACGCACGCACGGACGCACGCGTGCAACGACGACGCCGGCAGCACGCGTCGTGCGTGCCACGCAAACGCACCCCTGCACATGCTCTTTCTCTCTCTCTTGTTTCTTTTTTTCTCTCTCTCGTTTTCTTAACACAATCAACCTGTCTGTACGCGATCTTGTTGCAACGCGTGCGCGAAAGTAGGAAGGGAAAAAGCAGATGCGAGAGAGAGTGCGTCGATCTCTTGCGCGTTTAGTCCGGCATGCGAGCATGCATGTTACGCGCACGCGAGAGACAAACACGGAGAGAAAGAGCGAATAACACCTACCGCCGCCCTTTTTCGTTAATTGCGTGCGTCGAGCGAGACAGAAATCAAAGTTGAGCAAGCAAGCAAGCAAGCGAGCGAGCGAACGGCCGCCGCTGCCGCTGCCGCCGCCGCCACCGACCTGTTGCAAATGCAACGCGACCGGCAACGCGTGCAACGTCTTCCTCAAAGTATTGTAGTACGTAAAGTGTGCACGATGCATTTCTCGCATGCATCGCCGCGTTGTAACGTCGGGGTGACCGGCCGGGTCGAGCAAAGTGTAATCACCTCGCGTGTCGGCATATTTGGAACCGGCAACGACACCGATTCGTACACCGAAAAAACTTTTTATTCGCTGACATAGAGAGAATTATGTACCATAAGAATTCGCAGCGCACGAATCGAAGTAAAAAAAACTATTGCATAAAAAACAAACAATAAAAATTTATCTCTCTTCAAGAAAAATGTAAAAACTCGATATGCACGCACCGGACACTTCTCGTATTTTTCACGCGGCCCACACATCGAGATACAAATCGTATCGTAACGCAATCTCCGCGATTCACGACCTTCAGAGGCTACATAAACACCAAGCGGGGGATTTTTCAATCTCTCGGAGCGACTTCCGTGCTAAATTAACACGATTGATTATGCCGAACGCGAGCGCGTTTTTTCCGCGACGAGATTAGCCATCGCGAAACATTACGAAAGAAACTTCTAACTTTGTCCGTCGCGCTAATTCGACACGCGAATCCCGCATGTTTCTTATCTCGCCGGTTCCGCCGTTTGCTGGAAAACACACACGACTTATGTATATATTCGTTAGAGACTCGTGTACATATTAACATTATCGTGATTTGTTACGAAGGAAGTTTTCCGCAAAATGAGTGTTCGCGTGAATGTCTTTACTCGTTTGTTTTTTTTTTTTTTACATCTCAAGTTTTCCGGAGATAGAAATTTACACTCACTCGGTTTATATAAATTTTTCCGGCGACATTACATAATACGAGTGTACTTGTCTACATTGGAATGTTATTTATTGTAATTCAAGGTAACCTTCAATGCTGTCTCTCTCGTCCTTTAATTACATAACGCTAATATGGCTTTCACAAGTCGGCATGAGAAAAAGATAACAACGTTATACGACATACACAATTTTTCTTAGTTTTTTTTTTTAAACTTCCAACGAGAAGGTCAGTAAGAATACGGGAACTTAGTATACTTCCCACATTGAAATGTTTATGTTAATTCCCGAGACTCTGGCAAAAAAATCTAAGCACGTTCTTCTACGTGCGAGCATGAGATATACGTTTCTGGACGTCGTTTATCGACGCGTTATATTTCTTAAAGTTTATAAATTATCATCGCGCGTAACGCGACAATGTGATATAGCCCTTAGAACGAGGCGATTCCTATATTCTTAAACATATATAACGAGAGCATGCGATGTTTCGTTTATGCAAAGATTGCTTGTCAAACGTCAACCATAAGAAGTTTTCATGCTTTTACTTGATAACATTTTAAATTATATTATAAATTTTAATTTATATTTAGAAAAATTCACGTCTGTATGCAAAAGATTAATATAATATATTAGTTTTTTAATTTATATCAGGATTTTTATTAGGATAAATTTGACATATAAATAAATTCCAAAATCAATTTTATAGCTTCAATGAAAATATCCCAATTTATACACAAATACCTTCTTCGTATGATACGGTATATAATTGTTTGATAAAAAAAATGTTCTCGGCAATTATCGACAAATTTGTCAATTTGATAAAAATGTACAACAACAGCTAAAACTTACCGGCCACGTGAAGTCGAACGGGAATCTAATAGGGTTGGTGAAGCTCGGCAACGCGACGTTCGCGCTCAGATTCACGACGTTCTCGCCGAGAACGGGCGTCACCACGTCGCCGTACGTGCACGGCGACGTCGTGTCGATCTTCACCTGGTACTGCTTCAGGCAAACCCGAAACCTCGTTTTGCAGACACCCGAGCACTCGCCCGTCCTGGACGCGCTGCCGGAACAGCATTTGCCCAGGCTGTCCTTGCCGTACTCGTTGATGAAGGACTTTAGCCTCAGCTCGAACACCCCCGAGGCGTTCACCTGTAAACACACGCGCACACATTTCACTTCTCCGAAAGAGAGAGAGAGACACGCACACACAAACTGCCGCGTTATTTCATCGCGACATAAACTTTTCAAAAATAAAAAGAAACAAATATGAAATTAAAAGCGAGAGACATGCGAGATTAAAAATTAAAGGCGAAAACCATCGAAGATTGCTCGTCTAATAAATGTCTTCATTAAAAGACGCTAAAACTCTTACGGAAACAATATTAAAAATACAAAGCAGCTCTCTCGTGCAAAAAATACAAAACAATATTTTGCAACGTATAAATTTTTATTAAAGATTTTTCTTAAAAAAACACTCGAGAGGAGAAGATGTGACAAACTTTCAAACAGTTGCACGTGAAATCGTGTGATACAATCTTAATAGATAAAATAAAGAGGAGTCTGGTCCGCAGTCGGCTGGAAATTTGTCGCTTAAAAGAACGTTCGCTATCAAAAGGGGGACTCTCTTTCTCTCTTTTGTCGCGCGAGATGGGAGACGTCGTCCCGTGCCCCACGACGTGAAACCGCCACAGCAGCAGCAGCAGCAGCAGCACGTGTGCGCGCGCGTTTTTGCGGACGCGTGTCACGTACATCTCCCAGGAGGAGAGAAGCGAGAGTCGTGTTGCGCAAAAAGCGCGTGTTTTCTCTCGCTTCGTCGCACGAGAGCACCACATCTCTCGCGACATACCGTTTGTCGACATTATAAGCGACTATGCCATTATAATCGAATTACGAAGAGACGCGCGCGAGACTTCCGCAGATATTTACCGCAGATTTGACGATTCAGCGCTTTTTGTCCGCGTCGATTGATAGCAAACTCGATTGCTAATTTAGTCGTTTTCTTTGTACCAAAAATTGTAGTTTCAAATAAACTTCGCGATTTTTCTAATAAATAACGCGCGTAAATATAGATTTTATTTTAGATTGAATGAATTAAAGAAATATAAATTATTCATTAAATAGATAATTAATTTTAATAACGCTAATATATGAGACGTACATTTTACGAATACTTTATTTATCTAAAATAATTATATCAAGATTGAATTAAATGTTTTTTAATTGTTTTTTTACTTTGAGCAAAGAAACGCGTAAAAGAGAGATTAAAGAATGAAGAATTTATATTTCTCTTTGTCACTTGTATGACGGACTGCCGCGATGCGCTATTATTAAAACCGTCGGAATATTTTCTTTTTGAACCGTGTAGATGCAAACCACACGCCTCGCAAAAAGAAACCGCCTGACCAAGCCTCGTAAATGCATCAACGCTCTAGTTGGCTCGCGAAGAGCTGTTTAACGGCGAAATTACCGAGTAGAAACTCAGCACACTCAAGATACAAAGCGAAAAAGGGCGAGAGTCGATTAGCGCGTTTTTTGCCGTGAAGTCGTCGCGATTAATTAGCGCGTAATTATCGCAATCTTGTATCTTTCGCGCATCAAACATAGCTAACAAATAACATGTTAATATCATCTAATTGAACAATTGTCGTACACTTGTAGCAAAAGTTTTATTTAATTTCACAAATCAAATGAGATAAATAAAAGCAACGTAAGAGACGATTTTACGAAAAGCAACGAGAAGGGAAAAAAAATGGGAAAAGAGCACACATTTGTCAAAATTGAACGATTCCTTTCCGAAGTGTCGATACGTTCATTGGCATCGCGTCGCGATCAAGTCGACGTATCGGTAAACAGCGACGACGTCAAATACGTGCCTCTCATTTTTCCTCTCCTCGTCACCGCGCGACACACCGAGAGTGTGCTCGACCGCTTGTGATGTGGACACGGCGATCTCTATATATATATATATATGTGTGTGTATTTGCGTGTAAATGTGTGTGTGCGCGCGCGCACACGCGTACATGAGACGCGCACACGAGCGCGCTTCCGGACGAAGCTTCCCACGAGATATTGTATAGCCGAGAGCGAACGGCAGGTCTTTTAGCGGAGGTCCGAACGAGGTCTCGGCGTTAGCTTTCCTTTATCGGACCCGCGGATCGTCTCGCGATCGCGTATCTCGCGAATCGATCGCGCGCGCACACATCACCGACGAACTAGCGGTCCGGTGTCAAAAACAAAAAAAACAAAAAAAAAACAAAAAAAAAAAAGTAAAGCAAACACAAATCACGCGAACGTTTTTAAATCAGATAACATTTTTACGTAATTATACATCACGCAAATTAAATATCGAATTAAAAGTTTGATTATATCTCGCAAAGTTTTTATACGTCTCATAAAAGTCAGATCTTAATTAAACGTTTACCTCTATCACACGTAATTTTATTTAATCGATTATATCAAAATGACGTTCTTGTTCTGCAACACGATGCAAATTCGAGAAGTAATAACATTCAACACGATCTTTCGACAGAAATCAAAATATTCGTGAAAATGAGAAAACTTGACCGATTGATTTTTAATAACGACCGAGCGCAAGTCGCGGCAATCAGCGATTTAAAAAAAAAAAAAAAAATTTTTTTAACAAATGATAACAAAAATACAGCTACAGTTGCCCCGTTGCACTTCCAGTGGCGGCATTTTTCCTTCGATGTGTTTACGCTAATACGCGCGATTGAATTACCTCGAGTGTTCTCAACGCGCGCCGGGTTTTAGCGCCGAGGTGCGAGTGTGACGGATGCCGGGTTTTATTCTTAAACACGAACGTTCGCGTTCAATGTCAGACGAGCATTCTCAGCGATAAGAACGAGCCTTTGTTGCCCGATCACTTCGCGGCAGTACTTCGCTTTTAAAACGGGACGGTCGATGCGACTGCACTACCCGGGTCTTGTACAGAGTCTCTCTAGTCGCGCGCGAATTATCCTGTTAAGTTCTCACACTTCACCAGAGACGACGCGCGATACTACCGACATCAGGTGCATGTAAACAGACGGTTTTTGACATATCGCATTCGACGGACGGATTCATCGTTTTTTCTTTTTTTTTTTTTTTCGTCGAACTCAGTTCGCACGCAGTATGTTGTTCACGTTGACGTGACGCATTCGTGAAATGCGAACTTCGAAGTTTCCACCACCTCCTCTCTTTAAGTCTCGCAAAAGTAAACGCTATTAAAACGAGAAGCACCTTCGACACTGCCCTCGCGATGAGGAATCTCATTTTTGGCTCGCTGGAGAGCTATTCTCGGCGCGGAGAATGGCCGCCGCGCGTATTTACGGATACACATGGTACCGACGACGACGACAACGAGACGACGACGGTGTGTTTCGTCACACACAAAACGATTTTCACCGCCACCCTTCAGACGCCCTCTGAGGCGTGGTGTCTTCTTCCACGCGGAGGTCGCGATCGCGTCACCCGATGCACATCTCGAACACAAACGCAAACCAGACACTAAGAGATGACTACGCACAACAAAGAACCGCGGGGTTCTCTCGCCAATCGAGGATCCTCTGCGAAAGCTTCCGCGAAGATCGGGCCGTGCGAGACGTAAGAGAGACGAGTTTATAGGGCGGCTTAAAACCATCGCTGGCGAAACGACATCGGGACGGAAGAGGGAGGAAGGCGAAGAAAGCGAAGCTAGACACGTCTAAAAGAGTGCATCCAGATTTAGAGTTGCGTGCGACGCCGAATCTACCGTTAGGAACAGTCTACTTTGCTGGATGGGGCGAGAGGGAAACGGAATCTCTGTTACAAGCTCCAGAAGAGGGAAGAAACTATTTTCCCCCAAAGAGAGACATCCACACATTGCGGATCGCGATGATAAATTTACAGTAGAAAGATTTTGAAACTAAGAAAAAAAATATCAAAATAAAATTAAATTAACGTTAGAATAAATAATAAATAAGTGATAAATTTTATTTACACAGAAAAAGTACATAAATTCAACACACAATTCTGTTCCCAGACAAAAGAGTACAGAAATATTTGTGTCGAGAGCACAGCTTCATTTTGCCATTGTTGATAAAAAGAATGAAAAGAATAAAAGAAACTTAAAGTAAATAATTGTTGTTGTAAAAAAGTTTCAGAACGAACAATCGGAGTAGAAGAATTGTCGGGAGATGGTAGACGCGAAGGTAGTCGTGCACACGAGTGCGAAGGATCGCAGTGGAGAGAAGAAGAAATGCGAGAGAAAGAATAAAGGGGAACGGGGAGAGCATCTCTCCCAGGAAGAATCGCCTTGGAATCCGTGCGCAGACGAGAAATCCAGCCAAGACACACGAGGCTGTATAACATACGAAATGCGCCCCGCCGCTCGTTGCCATTTGAATCGGTCACACAAAATCCTTTACAGAACTCAAATTTGTTATACACAAAATACCGGAAGAGAAACAATGTAAAAAAAAGATATTCCGTCCCGACTATATATTGCAACTGTCAAATGCACAAAAAAGTCTGAGTTCACATAAAAAAAAAAAAAAAACTCTCGCAATATTTCAGTCTCTCATTTTTACACGGAAACCAGCACGAAACCGAAACGAATTTTTTTACTGATTCATTGAAAACCAGTGTGAAAAATCAGTCGGTTCAATACACCTTTGAAGTGCGGTGTGTGTGTGTCACAGAAGTGAACAAGTTGTCATTTCTCATTGTCATTGTGAACCGACGAGCGGAAAATTTTCTCAGTCACGATTTCCCTTGAAAACAATATTTTCAAAAGAAAGCAGAATTGCGTACATATAGTTGTGAGAAAGGTCTTGTACTTGCATTGGTGTCGAGATGATCGTCGAACGCGAACCCAAGTTTAATTGCGTCAGGTAAAACGTCGACGACGTTTGAAACGCGCTCCAGCAAATAGATCGTAACTTGCGCAAGTGAACGATCCGAGAGAGAGAATGTATTATGGGGGGTCATTATGAAATGCGAGTCGATTACGTCAAGTCTATTCCGATCTTTCGCGCGCATCTGCGACGCCTTCCCTTTTCTCGGGGTGTAAGATACAATACCGATCTATACGTGAGCCACAAATATGTGTAGCACATATATATATATATATATA